TTTACACTATCAGTTTCTCACACTAGTGAAACTATTCAGTATTTAGATTAATGACACTATGAACAGTTCGAAGAAGTGTGCTCCAAGCCTCATTGTGGAAAACAATCACCACACTTGTTGGGAGATTATCTGGATACATCTTTGATATATTTTACACCATCCCCAGCAGGAAGCCCTCTCTCCTTTCTCTCATCAAATTTGTTGGATTCACTGAAGTAAAGCACCAGGAACATATCCAAGAGTACCCAAATTAAGGAGGTGGCTATGAAATTCTTTGACTGCTGGTGACTGACATGAGTGATGCTGAGCAATACAGAACCTACAGGCTGGATATTAAGAGAAGACTGGTCAGACTTTATAAGAAAAAGCAGAGAGATCTTGCTAAGATGAGAAAATGTCTCAGGCCAGAAGAATTGACAAACCAGATGAACCAAATAGAAACAAGCATGCAATATGAACAACTGGAAGAAAGCTTTCAGGAACTAGTGGAAGATTACTGGTGTGTTATTGAATGACTGGCTCAAGAGTAAGATTATTCTATTTTGTATGGGAAGCTCACAAATTCCTATACATTGTGCTGTGGAAAACCTGATGATAACTTTAATGTTAAGATCTTGTAACATTTTACTTACACTGAAAGTTATCTATGTTATCATTAGTTGAATATTTTCTTTTTGGAGAGATTGTATATTTTAAAATACTGTCTAGAATGTTTATGAGCATATATAGCATTAAAAAATATAGCTTCTAAAATAAAAAAAATGTGTTCCTGTGAGCCATGTGGACACCAAACCTTTGTGTGACATGTCAAGGAGTTTCAGCTGCCAGCTTCTTTGCCTTTCTCCTCATGTCTTCAGGCGTGTAGTGTTCTAAAAAAAAAAATCATGATTTTCTTGTTTGCCTCACTTGTTATACTTTTTACATAAAGCTGTTGTAATGGATAGATTTTACAAGAAATTTAGAATGTGTGAAACTCTATATGGTTAGATGAAGAAGAGATATAAAAATCTCCATATTGCCAAATTATTTATCTCAACATTTATAATTGTCATTTAAACTTTCTCTTTGCTATTTTAAAGTTATTGTATAATAAATACCTCCATTTTGCAAGTAAACTATTTTATTTAATCTTGAGTACTAATTATTATACTGATTATTCTACTCCAAACTTCTGATTATAAAAATTACTTGTTTGAAATTTGTTATTTTTTGTAAACATATATTTCTTTACTTTAGATGCCTAAAGTGCAACATCTCTACTTTAAT